GGGAAGGGAGGGTGCTGTAGCACCCCAATATTTTGGGTACAAGGTGCTATACATTTCACCACAGAGTATTTAGGGCACCAAAATTAATATTCAGCACTCCCTGTTAAAATTTGGTTCCTGTAGTACTAACCCAGTAACACCCAACAATCTCCCCCATTCATGTCAGGCCACTGTATGCAGAATGTCTCCTCTATTATGGTAAATTCAGTGTCGTAGACTTATTTAATCTACAGTGGATTTCCTTCTATCCAAATTCCATCTGTCTGAATCTTCCAGATATCTGAACTTTGTCCCCTTTGTTCCTGTTTGGTAAAATTTCTAATTTAGTCCAACAATGCAAACGCAGCTGAAGTCATTCATTCACATGTCTGCCATCAGTAGCACTATAACCGCTTTGTTAAAAAAAATGGGTGCTACTATAGCAAGCAGTTTACAAAGATATCTTTACAGTAGTCTAACCTAACTTAACCTGACCTAACCTAACCTCACCTCACCTCACCTTACCTTTCCTAAGCTAACTTAACCTAAATATCTTGTAGGTCGCACGCTATAGTAGCTTTAAAAATAGCTATGATAAACATTAAGATTGGTACATAACATATCATAAAACACAATATCACATATTTTATGTTAAAAAAATAGCTCCTTCCATACTCAAACCATCAGCTAAGGAACACTACACAATTCAGTCAGACAGTCAACCAGCTGACTCTGAGACGTGTGTGTGTGTTTGCCGTGACATCACATTGGGGGGAGGGACACGGGTGAATCGGCCATGCAGTGCAGCTCACCACCCCCACACACCTATGCTCTTCATTTTTCTAATTTTATAGATTTTTATTATATTTTCTTTATTTATAGACTACATTAGAGTACTGTATTGTAATTTTTTCTGTTTTGCACTGTATTAACCCCTTAAAGGTCTAACTAACCTTAGGAAGTCTCCCTCCAGAAACTCGATAGTAGCCAAAATATTAAAATCATAAAATGGACATTCTAGTCTTATGAAATGTTAGAAGTACATGCTAGTCAATAGGAAAAAACATAATTATTACTGTATTCACCATCTATGGTTGTTGGCGAGTTGGAGAAGTAGGCGAGTCATCATACCTCAGCACCCCCCTGGCAGTTATTGTGCAAATGGGAGCGAACTGCCAGAAGTGTTGTTGAAGGTACTGTAATACCAACTCACTTTGTTTCTTACAACTTTACAATGCCTTCACATGGTCCCTTATTGAAAATTTGATGTGAAAACCCCCATAGGTTTTTTTAATAATTTATTCACAGCAGTACAGTGTGATACAGACGGTTGACACAGGTGCAAGGAGACAGGGGTCACACTGTAGAGATCTGTGAATAAATGATTACAAAAACCTACAGGGGTTTCACATCAAATTCTCTCTCATTAATACAACATCTTAAATGTATTGCAACATGGAAACTATGCAGATCTGACATTTTACCTAGGTTTTTTTAATAATTTATTCACAGCAGTACAGTGTGATACAGACGGTTGACACAGGTGCAAGGAGACAGGGGTCACACTGTAGAGATCTGTGAATAAATGATTACAAAAACCTACAGGGGTTTCACATCAAATTCTCTCTCATTAATACAACATCTTAAATGTATTGCAACATGGAAACTATGCAGATCTGACATTTTACCATAAACATTGTGGTTTTGAATTATACAAGGATTTCATCCTCCAATTTAATGTACTCTTTGCTGAATCACCCAGTATACACTATACAGTACATCATCACTCACATTTGGGTTAGAAGTGTATTCGTGAGTGGTACTTAAGGAAACATGGAATGCATGGTGGTACTTTGCTTTCAGCACACTTATTTGTTTCACTTACGATATCACTGATCAATTCCTCATCAAAAAACATACAAAAATAATCCAAGTACTGTATACTGTAACTGCTATCGTCATCCACATTTGCATCTGCAGTAATACCGTAGTCTGAGGTATCAAAAACACAAATTCAGTAATATTTCCGTTCGCCAGAATCCTTCAAGCTCGGAACTCTCCGGTAGCTGGAGTTTTCCAGAAATTCCGGTTTGGGGAATGATTTTCCGAGAGGCACATTTTCTGGAAAATTCCAAGAAAATTTTCCCAGGACAATACCCGTAAAATTCTGGGAATGGGGGACCTGATCCCCTCCTGTTTGTGTATGATATTACTTGCTGGAGAGCAAGGGTGTCAAAAAGCACCGCTTTTCTCTTTTTTGCCAAGTGTCATGGTTTTGAGTGAATCGGTGGTAGTAGGAGTCAGATTATATTATGTAAAGATAATAATATGTCGTATTTCTTATTTCTTACCATAGAGTTCAATACCTTCACACTGGTTACTTACAGGAGATTATGGCGTATCTACGTATAAGTTCACTCGACATTCCATGATTTATACTTGATAAATGATGATTTAATGAATTCCATTAAATTTCCAACATCCATCTAAGTTATTGGTTATACTTTGTCGTAACCAATCAGTCATTACCTTAAGTAATAATAAGATAGGATCACAGATACGGGCAGATAATTGCACTTACATTTATTTGTCAAGCTTCCATACAATGATTTACAATTTGCATGGATATATGATTCACTCATGTTCACGCTGTAATAAAATTAATCTTCTAAAAGATAATTTCAACTTGGGGACACATGTGATTACTCTACTATGGGTATGACCTAACAGAGCCTTAATTCTTCTGGATTGCTTTTGTTGCAACCAGGCTTCCACACAAGAACTTTCCATGGGCCATAACAACAAAAAGTACTCTTGGGTTACCACACATAGTCTCGCGTCACTGACAGTCACTGTAGACGGTTGTCGCGGCATGGAGAACTGGTAAGCGTGACTTGAATTAACCATTTAGGTGCAATAGACCAGCCTGGATTGCTTTTGTCGCAACCTGGCTTCCACACGTGATATTTCCACGGGGATAACAAACCTAGGTTAACACACTTAGTCTCGTGTCGATCACAGTCACTGTAGACGGGTGTCATGCAGGAGAACTCTGTAAGCGTGAATTAATTAACCATTTACTGTAGGTTTGATAGGCCAGTCTGGATTGCTCTTGTCGCAACCAGGCATCCACACATGATATTTCCACCGGAATAACAACCTAGGTTAACACACTTAGTCTTGTGCCGACGACGGTTCACAGGACGGAGTGGGCGGTGGAGGACTCTGTGTGGTGTGATGTCCCGCCCCCTTTCAGGAGGGAGAGGATGGAGACGACGTTTTAACTATGCCATGGTCCAGGGGATACTACTTAAAATGAGGTTTTTGGGTGTGAAGCGATGAACAGTACAACACTGTTTCACTGCCCACCCCCCCCCTAAAGGCTGGCTAACATACACTAATGGAAAATACATGTCCCAGTCATGCCTCGCCGGGTGTCTTATCTCTAGTAAAACAAACTTTGGAGTTGCGTGGGTAAGCCTAACGCAACCCATGACACCAAGTTTAGAACTTACAGTATTAGAATGACCCATGTTCATACTCTGAGTTTTGTTTAGTTGTGTTCCTCTTCTTGGGTGGTGTCAAGCATGAAGCATCTTGCTTCTGAAGTGCCATGAGGGAAGGACTTGTGGTAGCAAACTCAAGGGAGGACAACAAATGAGATGCCTCACAGCAAAAAATGTGGTCCAAAAATTAGTGAAAAAACTACATAAATAATGCCAGGAAGTTGGTCTACTCCCCATAAAGGCTATCTGAACACTGATCTTCAATTCTCCCTCACAGGTTCATCAGACTGGCTGCTGTGAGTTGCCAGATGAATCTTTTCTTAGTTTTGATAAAAAATATAATAAATAACAATAAAACTAATGATATGTTCATAATACTATTTCATATGATAACAACAGAATATGAGAATCGCCCAACATCAACTACCGGGAAAGGCGGTTGGGTTTTTTTTTTTTTTTTTTTTTTTTGAGGGTAGAAAATATTGTCAGACATTGTCCATACTTGGCAGTGATGTAGCTGAGAGTTGCCAAACTTTGGAGGAATTTTTACAAAAAATCCGATTTATCATAATTTTTTTATTTATCGCAACGGAATGATCTCCTTAAGCTAATAACTCCAGGTATTGTGATTGATGTCACCAAAATCCCTGATGTGACACAATAGGGGCATAACATATAGCTTTTCCTAAGTAAATAAGCAATCCAGGGGAAAGATGTTGAGATGCTAAGCCAAAACAAGATGGTGGAGCTTTAGTGTTGGTAATAAACTGGGCTGTTTGGCCTTTTGTTTGCAAAGAGGACTACAGCTGTATTGCATCAAAGTTCCCCACTTTGGGATTATGTATGGTGTGAGGGGAAGATGAAAGGTGATTATTATATCCTAAAGATGAATATATCACCCTTACAGGTAGGTGGGTAGTCATTGATTACCTCAGGGAGTATCAACCCTGCCATGCCTGCTGTTCCCATCATGTGAGTTGGTGTTGGGAAGGGCATCCAGCCATAAAGCTTTGCTTCGACATGCTTGATGGCAACCCCAGGTCACCAGAGCTGTGCCCATCCCCTGGTCTCTGCTGCATTTTCTGGGCTGGCACCCTGGGTTTGTGGTAGTGAGCCAGGGGGAGCATCCTGTTATGGTTTTACTTATCAGCTGCCATCAGGTAATCACAGCTAACCCATGCAAATATGGAAAATGGCCATTAAACATTGATGATGATGAGGCTGGTTGTGATGAATTGGGGTTCAATAAGGATATAAAATGATCTACCGGTAGTTGTCAGCCTGTAATATGAGGTGTCATTGGCTGTGTGACTCTGCAAGAATGAAGGTATTTCAGAATCACTCCATCATTTTCTTTTATTTTTTAAGTTTGCATGTTGTCCGATACTTCCAGGTAACTAATATCCAGTTTGCTAATATTTTATTGTACAGTATGTATGTATGTTTTGGTTATTAATTTTTTCTTCATCTTTGTAGTTATATTTTTATTTCAATGAGAAATATTTTTCATTACAGAGAGAGTTTGTGATGCAGTGCCTGGAGATAGAAGTGGTGAGATGACAATGATGGAACATCTCTTGCCAGCTCTCCCCTCTAATATTACAAATCAGCCATTAGTGGCAACTAGCAGAGCTAGTGTCACTTATTTGAGACCCACCACCACTACCCCTATTTCTTCATCTTCTACCACAGCTAGTGCAGTCATGATGATGGACTCTGAGCAAATATCTGTTCATGTATACCCACCCAATCCATTCACAATGGACAGATTACTAGGTTTGTAAATAAGCAGGAGGTATTCATTTAATGCAGCTTGAATCAAGCAAATTTTAAACTAATAATGTGAATGATGGGGTGTGTTTAAGATTAATGTATTATGTATTCACTTGAACATACATTGCACTACTGTTAATGCTGTTTTGTCAACTAAATTAGGCGAATGAAAGTACAGTATATATTGAATGTTCATACTACTCACAGACCTTTTTATATATATATCTCAAGTTTAATTGGTATAATATTCATATTCAGTAAGTAGGGAAAAGAAGGTAGTACTGTATTTTGGTGGCACTTTCTTGTCACTCACAGTTAGTGATTTGAAAGCTTCACACATGATGCCCATACATTCCTTACTGGGGTCTCTCATGTGGCTTACTGTAATGAAAGAGATATTTTTCAGTGTATTCTGTAACATCTAAAGTCTTCTTAGTTGTGTGGGGGATACAGACTTCATTGTCTAGAACCCCACATATTTGGTACAATACAACAGCTGTTGTATGGATTGTGATTTTCCCATCTGAAGTTTTTTCATCATGGTCAAAGCTATCTGTGGCAGCATCAACAAAGGTGTCATTGTCATTTACATCCTGCTGAATTCTACATGGCACATTATATACACACCCTCGCTATGAAGGAGCTGGTCTTGTGTAATGGATTTGACACCATCTTACTTGTGTTGTGTGGACATTCTGGCAGAGAGCTATTATGTAGAGGCTTATAGCTAACAAACACAGATCTGCATCTGATGCTGTTGTTGTATCATTGCTGCTCCTGACATTGTTAAAGGGCTTTTCATTGGTGGTCCAGAGGATGAAGTCATACAATGAAGCAGGTAAAAAAAAAATGTAGTGCACTAATTCAAAATTTATTGTGGATATGTAAGTCTAAGGTAGGTCCTCATTATCTGACATGACCTTCCTTAGTATCCCAACTGGTCTGTGCAGGGTCAGGGTTTCCTCCATATCCATGTAGCTATTGAGGGCTTTTTCAACTTTCTCATCATCTTACTCCTGTAGCTGTGTTGGCTTAGCCTGTAATTTTGCTCCTCTGAGAAAAACCTGGACATTCAGTAAAGGACAATCTGTTCAGGAAGTGATCCTGGAGTCATTGCTTCAGCTTCAATGATGAATAACACCGCCTCTTCCTTTGGAATGCCTCGGTTAATAAATAAGAATGCAGATGAACTTGAAACATTTGCTTGTCATGGTTACAACTTCCTTTGAACTACCTAAAAGCTGTACCTGAATTTCCAGCGCAAACATTTGAAATACCCTGTCATAGATTGTTGAGTTATCCTTCTCAAACTTTGCAGATGATTCCTTGATGTTCCTCTCTGATGTGTAATGTGAATAACAGGAGTGGTGGTACTTTCTCTCAAATGCAAATAGATCAATATGGGACAACATACGTAGGCGTATCAATTCGTCTTTTCGCTTTTCTGCTGCTTGAATCACTTTTGCATGGGTAAACTCTCCAGTACCAGTGCTAACTGGTGTCAGCTTCTCCTTTCTGTAGAGCCACAAATGAAGCAGTTCTCTTATGTTGAAACTAGAGGTGTCTAGTCTTTTCAGCCTTCTTGGTTCAGATGCTGTAGCTTATGCGCTGAATGATGCAACAGGAGAGTGAGGCAATCTCTGATCCCTGGTATTGAAAATTTGTATTGCTGGTATATTTTGCTTGGCAACTTTTATGGTATGAAACTGCACTGCAGACTAAAAATGTCTTTTCACATTGGTGAACCAGCTAATGCAGTCCATATTGTCTGGAGTATGCTAAGTCCAGTATAGCACACAGCCTATCTCATGTTTGATTCCTTATGGATGGGCCCTGTGAACTTCCTTTAAGTACTAACTTCAAGCAAGTAATGCAAAGCTGAAGACAAGTGACCGACTCCTCTTACACACAGTTTCTTCACATTGCTCCATCACTTTCCTACCTATGACCATTCACCTGGAGTAAAGTTGACTGTTGAAGTCACGTATAAAATAGTTTTTACCAGACAAACACGACTGACTATGAATTGTTAAATTGACACCATATGTTTAAAATTTAATCTTGCTTATACATTTGGCAACTATTATGAAAGTTACAATATTCATCACACAAAATACTCCTACCACCAAAATAAACCAGCACAATCATTATTTTCCCACTTCCTATGTATTATTTTTTAATAAAAAAGTGATTGTATTTTGTTATACTGTGCAGTACAGTAATATGGAGAAGGGTAAACAACCATTTTCTGATTTTGACCATTATCTTAAATAGTTACAGAAATGCTGAAAGCATAAGATGATACAGGTTGTACCTCTCTAGTCCGGCAACCTCGGGACCTGACCGGTGCCGGACCATGGAAATTGCCGGTCCATGGAAATTCACCCTTTTCCTGGATAGATAGTGACTTGTGGTTATGGCTGGAAGCACTAGCACCACTTTCTCTGCATCATGGTCTCTTTGAAAGGTTAAATTTCGTATAGTAGCTTCTCAAATTTCGCGAGTTTTTAATTCTTAACGTATTTTATTGGAACACAAAAAAATAAATAAATAAAAATTTTGATGGCGGAAACTTGAATTTCGACTGGTTTGAACAGCCTGCCAACGTGCAGACGACGTGCATAATTGTGTAAACAGCGTCATTTCTCTTATGTACAAAAGATTCATTATTGTTTATTACTGAATGTCTTTTTTATTGAATTAATGTTTATGTGTGCAAAATGAGCAATACAATTCATTAATAATACGTAGAATATTAAAACACACGAGGAAATGACACAGCATTGTTTTCGTTGATTACAAAACCAGTGACTGACTGGTTCTACATATAAAACTGAAGAAAATAAGACCTTGGTTGTAGCTGTAGTAAAATTAATATGGTTGTTTTAAGTAATGTTATTTAATGTTAATAAATGGAACAATAGAAGTAGCTAACGATAATGGTAAAGAAAAAGAGAGATCGCATATGTAAGTGCGCATGCGCACACGTGAAAACATATCGTCATTACTTTACATAAGAATATGAAAGCAACACTTATTTACTGTTCATATATATTTTAATTAATGTTTCTGAATTTGTTTTTATTGAATTAATGTACGTGTGTGCAAAATTAACAATACAATTTATTAATAATACGTGGAATATTAGAGGAGACGAGACGGCTGCCGGCATTGTTTATGTTAAAGCTTACGAAACCAGTGACTGATTGGTTCTGCATATAAAACTGAAGAAAATAAGACCCTGAGTTTAGCTGTAGTAAAATTAATGTAAAAAATGAATATGGTTGCTTGAAGTACCTGTAATGTTATTTAATGTTAATAAATGGAACAATATAAGTAGCTAACCATTAATGGTAAAAAAAAAAGTGAGACTGCTCGTATGTAAGTGCGCACATGTGAAAATATATCGTCATTACTCTACATAAGAATATGAAAGCAACACTTATTTACTGCTCATATATATTGAAGGGTTAAATGTTGTACTCTGTATAGACAAGCAGAGAGAGAGAGAGCAGCCGAACTGCCGGATGTAAACAAACCTTAATTTCCCGCGGCTTTTTTTTTTTAAGGGGATTAGCCCACCCGGGCATAGGTCACTGACCCACATTGGGGCCTGAGGGGCAAAAATTTAATACTCCTGTAATAATAATAATAATTCAGATAAGTAAAAAAAAAAAACTGCCTATCTACCTCTTGGACAAACTAAAATCGTTCCGGACCACGGGAGTTTCCGGACCACAGAATGCCGGACTAGAGAGGTACAACCTGTATCAGCATGCCAATGGTGACTGAATTGATAAATATAACCATTCCATACTGTACTTAAAAGGTTAACTATGGGAGCCTGAAGTTGTTAGATCATGTTATGAAAGTTGTGGAAAGAATGATAAAGACATTGATAAGGGAGAGAGTGGACACAAACAAAATTCAGTTTGGGTACTTGCCAGGTAAGGTGACCACAGAGGCAATATTTGTGGCCCTACAAGTGAAATATTTAGGGAAGGAAAGAAAGTTGTACTTCGTATTTGTAGACTTAGAGAAGGTGTATGAAGGGTATCATGTGAAGTAGTACTTGGGTAGTGAGAATGTTCAAGTGGTTATGGGATTATATGAAGGCTCAAAAACTGCTGTGAGAGTAAATGGCAAGGAATTTGAGGTGAAGACAGTCGAGGTGCATCAAGGGACTATCTTGAGCCCTCTTCTGTTTATCATGGTGCTGGAGGAACTATCATGGGACTTTATGACTTGTCTGCCCTGGGTGTTGTTATATGCCAATGACTTAGTGCTGATAGCAGATAATAGTAAAGAGGTAGTGGAGAAATTTAAGAAATGGATGGATGGAATAGTCAGAGGGCCTGATTAGTAAATGTGGCAAAAAAAGTGTTGATTAGTGGTGTGAATGAGGGACCCATAGGGGAAAATGGAAAAATAGCCATGTGCTGTCTGTAAGAAAGGTGTTGGTATCAACTCATTAGTGTACAGTGATTGTGGAAGGGGGTACACAAGAGGTACAATGGAGTAAATTGCAGACCAAAGAATATTTCTGACCTTAAATTACTTTTATGTGCAGATAATCATGTAGCATTAACAAAGCTGGCCTACTTAACATTGGGGATAAATCCTTGGATTAAGGTAATGAGTTCTGGAGGTGGTGCTGAAGCTAGCTCACTTGCAAGAGTCAGAAGTGGCTTGATGAATTTTAGGGAGTTGCTGCCTTTATTGAAAGCAAGAGGACCTTTTTTCATGTAAAAGGAAACATGTAGGTAAATGGCATGAGGATGACATGCAGGTTTGAGCAATCTGAAATGAGAATGGTGAGGTGGATGTGCAATGTGACACTGAAAGTTAAGAAACTGTTCAGTGCTAAGAGGGCTGCTCGGTATTGAAAGTATACTGTACTGTATTAGCGAAGTTTTGAATAGAAGTATGTTGAGATGGTATGTGCATGTGGAGAGAATGAAGGTGCTCAGTAGGGTCAATTAGTGCATGATTCTAAATTTAGAGGGAAGAAGAGCAAAGGGTAAGCCAAGAATGACATGGGGAGAGGTTGTAAGAATGACATCAGAGCTACTGTAAGAACATGACTAGAGAGGCTGCAAGAGACAGTGCAGCATGGAGAGCTGCCATCAGGTAATCGCAGCTATCCCCCACAAGTGTGGAAAATGGCCTAAAACTTTGAGGAGGAGGATGACCTATTGTGTTTGTTTCTTTGAATAGATTGCACCTAGCTACATAACAAAATGATTGTGAATACTGTACACTGAATCCAAACTAATTCGATATTGACAATTCGTTATTTCCAGGTACAGTAATTCAATATTTTTTATCAAAATAAATTTAATGAGAATTTTATTAGCTTTGGGAAAAAATTTAATTCGTCTGAAAATCTCAAAATAACCCACATGGCATCCTTTTTTTTTAAATAAAAATAGATAGAATCCATCATTTTATATATTTTTCAGTTGTTTAAGGGATCAGAAGTGGAAAATATTACAAAAAATTACTGGTGCAGGCAAAATGAGATTAAAAAATAGTTGGGTATACAGTATACAAAACATGGAATGTATGAAAAATATGCCCATGAAACTTGGGTCTGATTGAAAAGTTATTCCAATACAGAAATACCTCGCTATTCGCAACCCTACTTATTCGCAATTTATATTTTAACACCCACATACGATATTCACAAAGGATATCCCGCTTATTCACAAATCGAATTACAGTGACCCCTCGTTTAACGAACACCTCAGTTAACATAATTTCAATTAACGAACTGCCTTCCATAAGGATCTTCAATTCGGTTAACGAAAAAAAATTCGGTTAACGAAGTTCTTACGAACCGACCTCAACATATTTTCGCTTGCACTGACCGGGCAGCCAGCTTTAGTATCAGTCCGCCAATACATTAATCGGTTCTAGGGCTTAAATTCCTTACTATTTTAGTAAATATCAAGAAGTTTATACTATTCAATAATTTTAAAAGTTTAATATTCAATTTTTTAGTCATTTTAACAATTATTGAACATAATTGAAGGTAAAGTGATTACAGGTAGTTCTGCTATAACGCGATAATTGTGTTCTTGTAAAATATCGTGTTATAGAAAATCGCGTAATAGAAATAACAGGGCTTATGGAGAAAATAGGGTTAGGTGCAGATTACTCGAAATCGAAAAAATTTAGTAGTTAGCCTAACACAAAGGATAGCACAGTCTAAATAAATGTTACATTCATATCTAATAATGAAATCATACAGTAAATTTAACACTTTACCTTGAAAAAATATGAATGTAACTTGATGGGGGAGAAGGGTGATTTTGAGGTTGATAACATCAAGCTTCTCTTCAAGTGTTATATCCTTTCTTTTACGATAATCACCGGGAATTCTATCATCAGAATGCTTTTTGGAGATATTCTTCTTTACCATATTCACAGTTAATACCACAAAATTGGAGAAATAGTAAGCAAAAATCGCGTTATAGCAAACAAGCGATCGCGTTATACAAATATTGTTCCGAATTCATAAATCGCGTAAGAGCAAATTCGCGTTATCAAAACACGCGTTATAGCAGAACTCACTGTAGTTTAATGCACGGCATCCAGCCTCTTAACACAGCAAACAGGAGTTAGTCTTTCTGTTTTCACTGGAGGTAACATCTTGCTTGAGACTCTCTTCAACTAAATGCTTTTTTTCTGTGTTTCCAAGCAAATTATTGGTCATTTTGAAATATATTTTACATATTGACAATATATAATGCAGTGCAGTGTTGATTTAAAGAAAATAATCTTGAATTACACCAAGAGAGCTAAAATTTTATGGGTGAAATGGCGCCATGGGGTGACTTCTCTTCCACCCCAACTTCTCCTCCACATTCCCCATCCATCATCATCATCATCATCATCATCATCATCATCATCATCATCATCATCATCCAGGAGCCTTCTACATACACACCTCAAAGTAAGTGAACTTTTCTACCATTTTTGTTGAATTTAGGAAATTTTCGATGAGCTGGAACCAATTACCCAAAAATCCATTGAAACAATGGTTTCGGTTAACGAACGACCTTCTGGAACGGATTGAGTTCGTTAACGGAGGGTCATTGTACCTGTAATGTTATTTAATGTTAATAAATGGAACAATATAAGTAGCTAACCATTAATGGTAAAAAAAAGTGAGACTGCGCGTATGTAAGTGCGCACATGTGAAAACATATCGTCATTACTCTACATAAGAATATGAAAGCAACACTTATTTACTGCTCATATATATTGAAGGGTTAAATGTTGTACTCTGTATAGACAAGCAGAGAGAGAGAGAGAGAGAGCAGCCGAACTGCCGGATGTAAACAAACCTTAATTTCCCGCGGCTTTGTTGTTGTTGTTTTTTTTACGGGGATTAGCCCACCCGGGCATAGGTCACTGACCCACATTGGGGCCTGAGGGGCAAAAATTTAATACTCCTGTAATAATAATTCAGATAAAAAAAAAAAAAAAAAAAGCTACCTATTGGACAAACTAAAATCGTTCCGGACCACAGAATGCCGGACTAGAGAGGTACAACCTGTAGTATGTCAATTTATTTATTTTGACTTGTTTACATGCACACACAATCATTCGTACAGAATGTGCAAAAATTAAATGATTATCATTAGGTCAAACACATAAAGCAAATAAACCTTTCTTGTGTGCGGTTTGTGGAGGGGAAGGGGAGAGAGGGAGGGTGGGGTTGGCATCGGGATCTCGGCCTCCTCCCACCAGGTAAAGCTGTGTTATTGTTATTTTTCTACTTGTAATTTTGAGTAAATATTTTTTTTTTTTCCTTTTTTTTTTACATGCACACACAATTGTTCATACAGAATTGTGCACAAAATAAACTATATTATTATCATAAGGTCAATGAAATAAAGGAAATAAAATGTTTTACGTGCACACTGCACAGGAGTTAGTGTGTGGATCGTGGAAGGAGGAGGGAGCAGCTTTGGGGATTTCAGCTGCTTCAGTTTCTTGTGTCCCGTGTTTAGTGAAACTATTGCCAGCTTACAATGTGATATTTTTTCTTTTATTTTATTTGTTAGTAGAGTAGCATCCCATTTTACCGGCACCTACAAGGATTGAGAGGTGCCAGATAAAGAGTTTTTCTAGTTAGTTAAAACTCATTCTTAGGATTCCCCAATAAGTCCTACAATGCACAGTGCTACAGGCTGACCTCACAAATTCGAGTCTCAGAACAACAGACTTCATTAACACTTATTCCACTCTGTATAAATGATGTGGCTTTGAAATAAAGAAAATATAAAATAAAACTATGAATTAAGAAAAATGAAGAGCATGGGTGTGTGTGTGGGGGTGGGTAGTGGAGGTGGGGGGCTATAACTACATTGCCAACTCACTAGCCCAGCTGCCGTGTTTATTGTTACTTTTAATGAAATTATAAATTTTTTCGAAAACTCATTATAATACCCTAATTTGGCTTAGAAATAAAGAAAATATAATCTAAATTTATAAAATAAGAAAAATGAAGAGAAAGGGTGTGTATGTGTGAGAATTGAATGTGTATGTAGGCGGTTATAGCTAAGGCATTGGCTATAACTTCATCACCAACTCACCAGCCCTGCCACCTCGTATATTGCTACTTGTAAGGAAACTATAAAAGTTGTGAAAAAATCATTATAATACTCTAATGTGGCTTAGAAATACTGTAAATAAAATATAAAACTTTATGATAAAAAAATGAAGAGCATCGGTGTGTGTGTGTGTATATGTGGAAAGCAAATATGTGTTGAAGCAGTGGGTTACTGGGCTATAACTTCATCGCTGCTCTCCCTTCCGATGTGACGTTATGGCATACACACAGATAGCGCAGCAGCCACATGTCTGTGAGTCGGCTGGTTGACTGCCTGAACTATGTCATTTAGCCAAGAGGATGGTATGAGTGTGAAAGGAGCAGTTTATTGTGCATAATATACAGTACCATATGTGGTATTGCATTTTATGATATACTGTACTGTACTATTTAGCAATTTTATTGTTCATCATACAATAAATATGGCAGCCAGCTTGTCCCTGTTGCATGTGGTATTCAAACTTGTGATTCTTACTGATTTTGGAGGAATTTTTATTTTTATTATTGTTATTATTATTATTATTATTATTATTATTATTTTTATTTCATTTTGGTACCTGTTAGTTGAATGTACCGGTTGCCCAGATGACTGGGATTCTACTGTATAATTTTTATATATTCCTCACATTTACCGGTACAGTACTACAGTATTCATGTACTACAGTACTGTATTATATATCGAAAAGTACCGGTATGTAGTGAAAGTTGCTGGCTATGAATGCATCCCCTCTAATTAATTGATTCTTATGGGCAAAATTACCCTGATATTTGCTAATTTCTTATTCGCCATGACTTTTGGGAACTCATTCCTTGCGATAACCGGAGTACTGTATTCTTAGATCTGCTGGTATATTATTATTATAAATAATATTTTATTTAAAACAATACAGAATTAATAAAAAATACTAAAAGGTGTTACCGTTATTTTGCAAGTGCATTACACAAAGCATTTGAAATTCCTGTACAGTATCAATGTACTGTACTGTATACATATTAATCTCAAAATAAGGTACAATATGTCTCTGAGTACAGTTTGCAGGACTGTACATTATTCTTAAGACAGTGATAGATTTTCTCATACTTGGCTTCCCAGTATCAAGCATCAAAATGTCTCGTAAAAATCATGAATTTTTTTAATTGTGGCGAATTTTAAAAATCTAGAATTATGTAGTAATTTTAATGGGTTTAGATAATTTTTTTATTTTGTGATACGATCAACTCAGAGCCCTGGTGATATCGAATTACCGAGGATTCAGTGTATTATATAGTACAAACTGGTTGAAAGTAGAGTTACTATAGAACTTATAATTTAATATAAATGTAGTAAAGTATCTTGTAGAATCACTAATTCTACTTACCGCATTTGTGTTTCAGAACAGCGAAGAGTTTTGGGTCCATCGTCATCTGTAGATACAAATCTCTACATTGAAAGCTGGCAGCAGCAAGACAGTCAGCCAGCAATACAACACCCTCCATCCACCAGTCCCTTTATAGCTGGTCGTCATACATTTTTGAGAGGATCAGTGTCTGCTTGTCCAAGCCCAGTGCCTGTTCGCACATATCGATTAGGACCTGCATCTGCCTCTGCTAGCCCAATCATTCCTGTGCGAGGATTGGCTTCTACACGGGGACGTGTGCGTGGAGCACTTATTTCAGCTGCATGCACTTTGTCTAGTAGTGGAGGAGTTGTTGTAAGTGACTGTGCTTCAGTAGCACCCACATAACACAGTTTCAAAAGAAGCTCAAGAAAAAAAAATACCCATGGGTTAGCTCCCTGAAGTAGCAGCTCTTTCAGTAATCAATGTAAAGAAGAAGGAAATCACTCTTAACATCTCAAAAATAGAGCACATGTGGCAGCTTTCAGTCAGAAAGATTTTGCCATGAGAGAAATACTGCAATTTAGTGCTAGTTATCCATGTGACTGTTCTTCCTGTGAGCAGGTGAGCCATGTTACATCCAGTATTCATAGCAGCTCAAACACATAAGAGGCTTACTCAATTAGTACTAAGCAGCTCAACTATGTGGCAGCTTACTAAATATAGTAGCTCCATCCTCCTGTGTTCTCAGATTTTGCTCAGAGTATGCCCATGACCAGTTGTTTTAGAAAATTACACCAGGATGGTATGTCTTTTCAGTAAACCATGTTTAATTTTAGTGTAACCAATACTTGTACAATGAGTAGTATTGAATCAAAATTATTTCAGCATCATTCCGTGAGTGGATATAATATGTCACTGGTAATGAAGAGGAAGTGATCAAAATTTCATAAAGCAACTTTGTCATTTCCAAGCAGTGCTCTGGCAATTGAACATTACAAAGTGATTGGGCACATGTTAAATTGTACTGTACATATTATGTAAACTGTATTTATATGAGACATGTAAATAGACATTATATTTGTGTGCCAGTGTTTTGATAGTTCTTGGATGGGTGTATGTGACTGATAAACTTGTGTACTCTGAGTCTAGTGCTGCCAAGTTGTAGAGATGAGTACACCATGGCTCAATTTTAATTGTTTCTTACTGCTCAAAAGTCATGTTCTGGGTATTACTGTTTTGAAAAAGTTTTGCCCTGTGTTCCCTGCTCACAAATTAATATTGTATTACCTTGCATGGAATATGAATAGTTTTCCAGGAACCTTAGAGATGTGATTTGCATATAAACATTATTGAGTGCCATATTGGGTTTACCCAGCTTGTCAGTGTAGACTGTGCCATACTGTGTGATAATTATAAAATGCTGGAGGACACAATTTTACTGTAGCATGAATTTTGTTTAATACAACTTATTTCTTGATGGCTAAAATTTTCTAATAATTGATAACTCATGAGCATCTTAATTGAAATGTGTGAGTGTGTTCCATGTAATGTTGGAGGTGTTTCCTTTACATACATATAATTTTCTATTTTTTTACCCAAGTCCATTGTATATTTATTGTAGTCGAAAAATTTTTCAATATCATATCATTGATCCAGGGAAGTATGAAAAGCTTTACTTTTGCAGTGTCCTGAGGAATGGGACCTAAGCAGAATCTCTGTCAGACGGATCTGTTGCCATTTTCTTCCCATAAATTCACATCATTATCCATCATACATTTCTCAATTTCTCAAGTTATGTGTGTGTGTGTGTGTGTGTGTGTCAAGATCAGCTTTTGAAGTATTGATGATAAATCAGTATATTTTGTGGTTTTTACATTAGTGAATATCAGGACTCTTTCTTCCAAAATTTCTGAAGAAAATTAGGATTGCCTCAGCCAGTATGCAAATGGGGGCTGGAAGTATGAATGTAGTACAGGCAGACCTCTTATAATAGAGCTCTTAACATATTTTTACTTTACAGACTTCAAAAAATATTAATTTAATAAATATAATAGTACAGTATTACCCCGCTTTACAAGGTTTCACTTTCCGCGATTTCTCACTTGCGCGGTACCTTGCCAGAACCGGACTTTCACTTTCCACGGTGCATCTACTCATATACGCGGTGAAGTATAATTTTTTTTTTTTTTTTTTTAGCTCATAAAATTCATACAAATTACTCGGCCAGAATATAATTTACATTGCTGGAATTCTTACAATATTATGATTATTTTGAATATAAACATCATGGATTTTGCATTAGACATACAAATTTTAGATCTAATGTAATAACTTGGTTCACAAAAAGCAAATATTTTATCTTTTGTGCAAAATATTTGAAGTTTACATTCAAAATATTCCCTGACCTGCAAGGAGTCCAGAAATGTCAATTATATTATCCTAACTTTAGTCTGAGGTATTATTTATTACTAAACGTTAAAATCTAGTGTTTTCACCCATCATTTCTCAGAGAGGTAGGAGCTAGTGAGCTGGGAAGAGGGAGGGGGGGGGGATTTGAGTCCATTATTTGAATGGACATTAACCTGGCGACTGTATTTCTCTTAAATATTGATTGTGTGAGCATACCATCATAAAATTTAGATGTTATTTTTACTACAACATACCGGTAGGTATTGTGTCGGAAAAAGTGGAGTTTGAGGGTCGGGCCAGTCTCTATTGGAATTAATCCCATATGTTCTGTTGTTCACTTTACGCGGTTTTCACTTTCCGCGGTACCCTGTGGGTTCAATTGACCTCGTAAATCGGGGTACTACTGTACTGTATGTATGTTTCACCATTAAAACAAATTTTTAGAAAAAAAATCTATCAAACATATAAGAACCAACAAATGTGTCTGCAACCATTTTCAATTACAGGCAATCAACCTTTGTCTAATCAGTTTATACAGCCCGCCAAAATTTTCATTGGTTTGTCTCTGTACTCTCTCATTTTTTTCAATTTTTATGTGAGTTAAGTGAGGAATTTAGGCCCTTTATGTTTGGAAAAACATCCTGCAAATGAGTGTGTTGGTAAAGCAGCAAAGGTGACCAGGAAAGTCATTAGTATAGATGTGAAAATGCAAATGAAAGAGGGTTGAGGCAGATGAACATCAGGCAAACATGGATTGATTGCTTCCTTTACCATTAAAACAATACAGTGCTCCAACAAAATTATTAGGTGAGTATTGATTAAATTTAGTTTCTTATAATGTTTTATTAACATCGGCTGTTATATCTACAGAGTCATTCTCGTTGTCTGTAGCATTTATAGGGTAAGAATTTACACTTATCAGGACTATGTTTCTATAGGCCAGGTTACAAAGACATCTATTTAGTGGATTAATCACTTAATGGACATTCCTTGGGGATGAATCTTTTCTGTTATGAGATGTCTGCCTGTGGTGTTTGGAAATAGTTGGTAATGAAAAATTACTGTGCAGTATAGTCTGGATTTACGCGGTTTTTGTTTACGCGTTTGGTCATTTACGCGGTGCCTTGCCAGAATGAAATGTTTGAATTACGCGGAAAATGTCATCATTTACGCGGCGAGCGGCTGGAGAGGTCCAAGCGCCACGCCATTTTGTATTCACGCGGTCCATGCTTGACCATACGCGGGACGCGGCGCGGGTGTGGGTGCTCAGTATGTCGCTGTTGCGTTATCGCTGACGTCATATGACGTATCGGACTGTGATTGGGCCACGCATCCTTACCTCCCTCCCCTGCTAGCTGTGATTGGTTTAATGTAATATGACGTGCCCTGCCACCAGAGGGAAGGAGTCGCTGACCTAGCCGGGCCACTCTCATTGTTCTCAGTTCTCTGCGTATACAGTTCTCTCTTGTGCCCGCTATTCCCCTCACAATGGCCTCCGCTGGACCCTCACCACCCCAGAAAAACCTTGAACCTGGACCAAGCCATGAAAATGTGAAGGAATTCATTGAGTTGGGGGAAAATCAAGCTCATCCTTGACAAAGACACAGTCAAGCATCGGTATGAAGTGTCTAATAACCTGTCGAAAATTATGGAGCCATATGTCCAGATGTATCACGACAACATCAATGCTAGTCTCGCCCGCAACCCACCACCACCACAGCCAGCCCAAGTCAGTGATTGTGACGATATGGACTTTGAGGAGTTTGTCAGGGAGGCCCTGCAAACCTTTGTGAAGAGTGATAGTTATTCACCGGAGGGCAACAGTATAGTCTGGATTTACGCGGTTTTTGTTTACGCATTTGGTCATTTACGCAGTGCCTTGCCAGAATGAAATGTTTTAATTACGCGGTAAATTTCATCATTTACGCTGGAAGCAGCGCGGGTAGGGTGCGCACAAGGTCGCCCAGTCATCAAAACATTACCGAGTTCTTCACCCGCCACCCACCACAGCCGGCCCAACTCAGTGATAGTGAGGATATGGGCTTTGAGGGGTTTGACAAAGAGGCCCTGCAAGCCTCTGCGGTGGATAGCGATACAATTGATACAAGTGATACAGGTGAGGGCCAATAATCTGCCCTCTGCCTCGGAACCAAACCCCCATCCCCATGTGCCCAGCCATCTTTTCTACTAACGTAAGTGTTAAAAAACCTAACATTATTGATATTTCTCTTTAATATTAATTGTGTGTGCATACCATCATAAAATTAAGATGTTATTTTTACTACAACGTACGTATTGTGTCGGAAAAAGTGGAGTTTGGGAGTCAGCCCAGTCTCTATTTCAATTAATCCCATATGTTCTGTTATTTCGTTTACGCGTTTCCCGTTTTATGCGGACCTCTACGGGTTCAATTGACCACGTAAATCCAGACTATATTGTATGTGTATATATATATATGTATATATATATATATATATATATATATATATATATACAGTATATATATATATATATATATATATATATATATATATATATATATATATATATATATATATATATATATATATATATATATATATATATATATATATATATATATATATATATATATTGACAACCCTTTATCCGAAATTCCAAAACCGAAAAGCTCTGAAAACCAAAGTTTTTTTTTTTTCAAACGGGGATTAGCCCATCCGGGCATAGATCACTGACCCACATCAGGGCCTGGGGGGCGATAATATAATAAAAATAATAATAATAATTCATAGGTCTAGGTCGTGTTTCTCACTTTTGATCTTTTTTTCATTCTTGTACGTATTTCTTTATTATTATTATTGTTATTATTATTTATTATTATTATTATTATTATTATTATCATTATCATTATTATTATTAATTTTAGTATTATATTTTATTATTATTATTGTTATCATTATTATTTTATTTTGGTATTTTTATTAAAATTTTTATTTACTATGAATAATTATTATTATTATATTTACTATTACTATTACTATTACTATTACAATTACAATTACAATTACAATTACAATTACAATTACATTTTCGCCCCCCAGGCCCTGATGTGGGTCAGTGATCTATGCCTGGGTGGGATAATCCCTGTTAAAAAAAAAAAAAAAAAAATGCCCCACAAAAAACTTTCGGTTTTCAGAGCTTTTCGGTTTGGAATTTCGGATAAAGGGTTGTCAACCTGTATATTGTTTCAAAGGTAAGAGTTAGGAAGATATTTTATGGAAAATTTTGTCACATGATACTGTATTGTACAGTACTGTACTGTATACAGTATCCTTTTGCATTTAGGGTGAGAATTTGCTCATCAAGTGTAATCAAATGATGACATGTTAAGGTTTGCCACACGATGTTACAATCCCTAGTCACATGTACCTCTTGCAATAGGCACCGAGTATTGTAGTAAAGGTTAATTTATAACTCCGCCCAATATGCGTTTCATGTACAGTGCAACATTTTCATTCCTTGGTTATAGAAGATCCATACATACAAATATGCAGATTTAAATTGGCCTCCAGACAATTGGTCAGCTTTACAATTCTATTACATTTCTAATCTATTATTTTATTTCCAGTTATCTTTCATTCGTTGATGTTATGACACAGCAGTTCAATCTGCCTTCTTGAATGTAAGTGCCCTTTTTACCAGAATAAACATTAATAACATTTAAGATAGATTAGGGTGTTGGAGCTACCTAGTTGTCAGATGATAAAGCAAGAGAGATTTGTACATTTGTGTGGTTCCAGGATAATATATTCTGCAAAGATACAGGTTTTGGAAAATTTAAGTTACAGGCTTCTGCTACCCATTTCTGTCAAAAGCAAAAATTTGAATTTATTTTGCAAGCTCCTTAATACTTATTAATTTTGTACAGTATTCAAAATATCCATCTATATCCTATGTTGATTTAAAAAAAATAAGTCGTATGCATTTTCCTTTAAAAAACCCCAGATGTCATATGTACAAAATAACAGATGAACTGGCCTCTGATAAATGATGATGATATGTATAATATGCATAATTTACCTTCATTTAAATACACGAAAGTATAAATGGCATGATGACGATACCTCAAATACATGTATGAAGACTTTAAAAAAAAAGTATAGTACAGTATCTTTTAAGATATGCAGAATAAAAAAAAAATTAATTGTAATAAGGCACAGCAGAAAATTAATTACTTTACTTGATGTAACAAATAATTTAGATGAAAAAATCAAGATTGATGCAAACCAATTGATAAAGAACTTCCTGAGGAAGTACACATACTACTGCTGTTTCTTATGCATACATCTTGACTGATTTCCAGTCTCAGGCAACTGTGTATAGTCAGGGGATTTATGGAATGAAACCAGTTTCTCTGAGACCCAAAACATATGAGTGGAATCAAAAAATTTTTGGGCCTCCTGGTTCCTAATTTTAGCTGACTTGGGTACACATGGGTTGCCTGAGACTGATGCTAGGTTAGAGTTTGAGGATTAATCCTGAAATTCATTTTTCTAA